GTTTTCACAAAACGGGTCCAGGTGGTTTTGAAAGTGTGGTAGGCAGTTAGACAAGAGCAGATCAAGGACGATGTGCCAGGTACAGAAGGTCGCCAGGGCAAAAAGCCCTGGGTGCCTGGCAAAGGACAATTGTAGGGTGGGAACTTCGCCACCAGGGTGACCTTTCCTCCCCTAGCATATGGCTGGGCCTGCGGTTTGGACCCCCTGACCTTTCCTCCCTAGGCCTCAGTTGTATTTCAGCTCCAGGCCCAGAAAAACACCAAAAGCAGTTAAGAAACACCACGGCTGACCCCAGGACCAGCTGCACTGAATAATGACCCCTGTCTTGGCACCAACCAATCAGTGGAGACCTAGACCCTGAAAAGACACACCTGGAACGCTGCTGAGCATGCTACTGAGATCTTCCCCTGGGACCTTCCCTAAACTCTCCACCCTTAAAACCCTTAGGACAGAGGACCCAGCATGCTCTCCCTCCAGAGAGAACACCCCCGCCTTTCCTTTCCTCCTCCCCGTCCTCCCAGAGGTGTTACCAAAGGCCCTTCCTTTGCCTCTGTAACCTGTTTCCTAAGCCCATTTCTTCTACAAATTACTTCTGTCTCTGTGATTTTCCAAGTAAACGGTCTCTTATAGTTTGAGCCTTGGCTCTGAATCCTTTCCTAGCCGGAATTCAGGCACTGAGGTTGCTGAACCCAGGTCTGGTCTGACCCCACGGGTTTAACACCTGGTGCTGTTCCAGCCATACAACTAAAGTACATTTATTAAATTAAAGCTGGGGATCAGTGAAGCAAGCAAGAGCTTAGGACAGAAGAAGCAATAGGAGAGAGCTTAGGCCGGACTGCTTTGGCTGAGAAATAAAAGTGAGAGTAAAGAAGTGAGCCAAGGCAGGGCTGCTGTCAGCTCATTCTCTCTCTCTCCCTCTCCCTTCCTCTCTCTGATATCAACACACACACACACACACATTGTCATTTTATTTATTTTTTAAATAGGCAAGCCAGGCGCTCTCCCTCTTGGGAGTATGCCTGTACTTTTCTTCCCCTACAGGTGTGCATCCCCTAAAGCTAAGGGTCCCCACACGACTTGCGACCGGGGGAGCAATGGGCAGCAGCAGCCTGTCCTGGATTAACCCCCTAAACCTGTCTCCAAGGCCCCAAAGCAGCTCCACCCAGTCTCACTCCTGTTGCTCCTTCTATCCTTGTTTCAATGTCCCAGCTTTCATAAACGTACTCTCTCTCTCTCTTTTTAATGTTTTTATTGATTTTTTAATTTAAATTCTTTATTGTTTAAAGTATTACGTAAGTCTCCTTTTTCCCTCATTGACTTCTCCCCAGCTGCCCTCACCCCCCAGCACATGCCCTCACCCCTCCCTTATAGATTTTTTTTTTTAAAGAAAGGAAGCGAGAGGGATAGAGGGATGGAAACATCAATGAGAGAGAAACATTGATAAGCTGCCTCCTGCACATCCTCTATTGGGGACTGAGCCCATAACCCGGGCATGTGCCTGACTGAGAATCCACCTGGTGACCTATTGGTTCATGGGTCAATGCTCAACCACTGAACCATACCACCTGGGCTTTCTCTCTTTAAAATTTTTTATTTATTTATTGCTTTTATAGAGAGGAAAGGAGAGAGAGAGAAACATTGATGTGAGAGAGAAACATCGATGGGTTGCCTCCTATAGGCACCCTGACTGAAGATCAAACCCTGAAACCTAGGTCTGTACCTTGATCTGGAATTAAACCCAAAACCTTTGGTGTACAGGACGGTGCTCCAACCAGCCACAGGGCAGTTATCACCATTTTAAAATGGGGAGATTTGCCGTAGCCGGTTTGGCTCAATGGATAGAGCATCAGTCAGCCTGGGGACTGAAGGGTCTTGGGTCAGATTCTGGTCAAGGACACAGACCTCGGTTGCACGTGCGGGAGGCAACCAATAGATGTGTCTCCCTCACATAGATGTTTCTTTCTCTGTCTCTCTCCCTCCCTTCCACACTCTCTAAAAATCAATGAAAAAATATCCTTGGGTGAGGATTAACAACAACAACAAAAATAATAAAATGGAGAGATTTCACATGCAGATCCAAATTTGTAGGCACTCTCTAAAAATGAGAAGTTCTGACAATACTGGTCTTACACGGAAGCCATCAGCTACACCTAAAAGCAGAAACCACCTTTGCACAGGAAAAGGACTTTCAAGTTTGCCATTTTGCATGCTCCGCAGTGAGGCAAATTCCTAATTGAAGTGAAAAAAAGTAAAATATTTCTTATAACTATGTCTTTACTCAAAGACAAAAAACAGAAATGTAGACCAAGAAAGTGCATGTGTCTTTGAGAACTTGAAAAACATTCAATGGTGTTGAAAGCTTACATCTTAAATCAGAATTAAGCAACAACCCCAGAGGGCATCCGACTTTGCCATCCCTCCCCTCATTTGTCTGAATACAGCATTATCGGAGACGTTGAACAGTAACACAGTCTCCCCTGAGCTCTGAGTTGATGTAATAAATTATTTAAAGTCACAGTTATTTCCTTCCAATTGTACCTTAAAGGTGTAAGAAAAATTCCAGGACACTGTGGTGAAGTTTGGGCAGACCTGGTAATGGGGGGAGGGGGGCTTATAATCTGATAGAGCACCTGAGTTAACTGAAAGATAATCATATTATTGTGAAATTCTGAAGTACATATAGATATAGGAACAGAGGGTTACGTTATTTTTTAAGTTTTTTTAAATTTTTTTTATTTTCTAAGTTTCATTTCTCGGGCCAGTGCACCTGCATACTCCCTTTGATCCTGGCGATGGAGGAGGCGATTCAGCTGGGGACAATGTATACTGTACCCAGCAAGCAAGTAGAACTGTTAAGCATGACCAGGCCGACCCCACCAGGAGCCAAGCCGTCATCTCATCGCCTGACAACCAAGAGCGATGGCTGACGTCTGCCGACGTCCAGGACTGCATGCGATTGCATTCTGTTCCCAACCCCACCCCAGCCCATTGTGCCTATATAATCCTGTCCGCTGCACCTTACTGTAAGACAGGTTTTGGATGCTCTAAGCTCCCTGTCTTCTTGGCTGGCTGGCCTTCTCAATAAGCGCCTTGCCTTATATGATTCAACCCTGCCTTCCTCATTGGACATTTTGAAAGGCAGCCGGAGCCCACCCGGGAGGTCGCCGGTAACAGTAAGACCTGATACAGGCCTGAAAGGAAGAAGTGACCCAAACGGAAGTCCTTCCATCCTTTAATGTGCTTCTCACAGGACTTCAGCTTTCAAAGCGCCTTCTGTCCTTCCTGTCTCACCTGGTCAGTCCGGTGAGGTGGGCAGGGGCGGGATTCTGCAGCAGGGGAGAATACTGGGGCCTTGCTAAGGGTCACAGGGAGAGTCTCTGAAAAAGTGTGCCCCAGAACCCAACCGCTCTGCCTCCCCAAGGATGGTGGCAAGAGGAGGCAGATGGCAGGAGAAAAGAAGTGAAAATGCAAAAGGGAGCTCTACAGGGAGGTGGCAGGTCAGAACAAACAAGGGCAGCCACTGAGGGGTGTGGTGAAGGCCTTGCAAAAGGTGAGGGACTGTATCCAAGGAGAAGCACTGAGGTGCCACGTAGGGGGCTATCGGGGCACCTCACCCCACCACGGCAAAACGGAGCCCAGAGGGAAGATGATGTGCACGCTGCCTGGTGGCCACTAGCACCTGAACCCTAAGGGTCTTCCTTCTGTCGGTGGTGGGGAGGACGGGCCAGGGGGCAGGAGACTCCAGGCCTGAGGCAGCAGGAGCAGAGTCGCACGGGAGTGGACCGTGTTAACATAAAAACCACTGAAACCTGTAAAGAATTTTTGTGAGTTTATTTGAGCCAAACTGTCGACATATGCCGGGAAGCAGAACCTCAAGGAATTGAGATAATGCTCCGGAGAATGGCGGGGTTACATTTGTATTTATACATTGCAATCAAGGGAGGGACATAGGTGGGTTACATGCAATTCATTGGTGATAGATTAAGGAGGAGGGATAAAGCAAAGCAGGGAAACCTCTGTGATAGGATAAAAAGTAAAATGATGGGCACATACTTAGGTGGGTGCAGGATCAATTAACATGATAATGAAGGAATTTGTGGTATCTGTCCTGGCGCCCAGCACCTTTGGTTGTGCCCCAGGGGCTCCAGAAAAAGGGAAGTTACAAGATACCCAGACATTTCAAGGGTGTGTTATCATAGATGCAAAAAGACAGATAGGCCCAGTTAAGGTAAAGGTTGACCTTGTCAGTGAAGATACACTGGCCTAGGACGTAACTGCCCACCATAACTGCTTTTAGTTAAGGTTTAATTTCAGACCATCCTTTGTGGTGACTTTAGGTCTCTGAGTTTGCAAGACTGCTATGCAGGCCTCCCCTGAGCTTGTCAGGTCAGCATGTGGCCCCTTTCGTTCACAACCGAAAGCTTTGCCCAAGGCTGGTAGCGCCATTAAACATCAAAGACCCAGGTCGCCAAGTCCAAACAATCTTAACCAGCGACTTCAAAGCTGAGACGTTCCCGGGGCCACAGCCTTCCACAGTTGCCGCCTGGAAGGCGGCGTGGGAAATGCCCGGCCAGTATTCAGAGACTGTAGGAACCTCCCGAGAGATGATCAGGATCTTTAGGAAATGCCAGAGCAGGTATCAAACATCAAACGGCCAATATTTTGGCAAGTCCACAATTTCCTAAAATAACATTCAGGAATAGCGTATGTTTAAGGAACAAGCGGAAAACAGCCGAGTGGCTTTCGGGAACTTCCGGAACTTCTCGATCCGCATTCGGGACTTCTCGGCTCTTTGGGATCTCTTCAGGAGTCTTAGTTTCCTATAGCCGATCCGTTCTTGGACGAAATCCTGACGGGTACCGACAGTCCCTCGGCAATTTCCGTAAGTATTCGGGATCTGCCCGAGAGTGGCGCCCTCTGGCGGCGCGAACGATCACGACCACTACCACCACTACCACCACTACCCCGGCTAAGCCAGCACGCGCAGGCGCAGTTGTGCGTCGGCTGCCGTTCCGACCGGACGTAGTTGCTGCTGAGATCAGTTCCGGCGGGTGACGGTGCGGACGGGTCAGAAGCGTAGAGGCGGCGGCAAAATGGCGGCGCCTGAGGAACAGGATCTAACCCAGGAGCAGACAGAGAAGCTGCTGCAGTTTCAGGTAGCAGCGAGTACTCGGCGCAGCACATGCCGCCGCGGGCTGGGGAGTGGGCCTCCAGAGGAGCCCAGAACCCTCCTGAAGTTGGGCGCGAGGTTCGCAGACCAGCAGGCGGCCCCCTCCCCCTAGACGCCAACTGCCCCGCTGCCCCGAGCCTGTCTGTGGCCGGCCTTCCAGAGGCGGCAGCTGCCAGACCCGCCTCCCCCTCTCCAGCTTCCCCGGGGTCCTTTAGGGGCGCCGGTCTTCAGACATCCTTCCCAGATCGGGTCCTCTCCGCCCAGCGACTCTGAATCTACCGCGGATGCTTAATCCCCACCGTGGGGTTGGCCTCGTTTCGGGTCCCTGGAAATGCTGCCGGCACCCCATGCTACTTGCATACACATGTCCTGAGGGCATCTTGGGTGCCAGGGCTTGTGTGGGGCGACCTGGTGGGGGAAGGGCAGGCCTGGCCCCCGCCCTGAAGGTGTGGGAGGACCCCGCGTTGTTCGGAAACAAATGCAACATCATCAATGTCGTCAGCGGCCCCGGGCGAGGTGTGGTGCCCTCGGCCCGTTCCCGGACTCACGTGCGTGACCGAGCCGAGGAGGGTGGCAACTTGCAGGAGTCGGCCTTCTTCGAAAGGGGGTGTGGGGCTCAGAACTTGGGCTTAAATAAGCCCTTATGTCTGAGCTGGAGAGTCCGGGGGGGAGGAGACCGCTAGGGTGGGTAATCTTGACTCTTGGTTACTCTGGTCGATACCAGTTTCCTTATGGATATAAAATACATGTTTTAAAAAGGTTTACCCCCTAGTGATATTGTGGGAATCAAATCAGAACGGCTGTCTGAAGGGCTTTGTAAAACGTAAAAATGCTCCCAAACAGTATTACTGCTTATTCGTCATTTTTTTGACTTAGGGGAGAATGAAAGTTAGTGGTACACTTGTTTCCTGACATAAAATGTGCTATGTATTTATCCATGTCAGCAGTCACCAGGAACCTTAGTGCTAGGTCCTCCCAAGTTAGAATGCCCTTTATTTATTTATTTATTTTTAAAAATAGATTTTATTGATTTTTTACAGAGAGGAAGGGAGAGAGAGAGTCAGGAACATCGATGAGAGAGAAACACCGATCAGCTGCCTCCTGCACATCTCCCACTGGGGATGTGCCCACAACCCAGGTACATGCCCTTGCCCGGAATCGAACCCAGGACCTTTCAGTCCGCAGGCCGACGCTCTATCCACTGAGCCAAGCCGGTTAGGGCGCCATTTATTTGAGTATGATGTTGTAAGTACTTGGCTAAACACCGAGCACACGTTATCGGATTTAATACACTGTGAGATTCGTACTGTTACAGTCCCTGTTTTACAGGTGAAGGATATGAGGCTTAAGAAGGAAGGTGCTTAAGTGGTTACACAGCTAGTAAGTGGTGGTGTGAGATTTAAGGCCAAGTCTGTCTTTTCAGAACCTTTCCCTGAGCCCTTGACTGGTGTGCCATACAACCTGTGTATCACCGATAGTGGAATGCAAGTGCTGTGATTTGTCTTTTTTATTTTAGCAAGTTCTCGCTTTTCCAAAATTTCCTTGATTAGATTTCACTGTAGTTAATTTTGGAGGTTGTTTTTTTTTCCCCTCTTAAATTGATCAGTGGCACCGGAAACTAACAGGATTTTGTATGTTTATTATACATCAACTTAAAACGTTGAGCAGTGGGTTGGAACTGTATAAAATGGAAAAATACTATCATAGAAGTTAGTTGATATTTAATTGGAGTTTTGAGTAGAGAAACTGATGACACAGCAAATTAGAATCAGAATGAATACACAGCTTCCATTTCCTGGTAGACCACTAATTTCAGAGTTTTGTTTAACTTTGGCAGACCATTTTAGCCCCTACAGCGCTTCAGGGTTATCCCATGGTGTTTAAATGTAATGAAGTGATGTGAGTCATGAGTCATGGTGTACTTAGTCTGGTCCTGGAAGAACATGAATATGTGGTAGCATTTCTGAAGTAAAGTGCATAACAACCTCTGTTTTTGTCTTCATTGGACATCTATAGCAGTAAGAGATGAATAGCACATTAAAGTTGTATTAAGATTGCTTTATGAAATTGGATATACTAAGGCAAATGTATATGGCATTTATGTGTTCTTTAAGTAGTTTCTGGATCAGTTTCATCATCTAGATTGCCATTATACATTCTTTGAAACTTACTAGGTGTCAAGCATTATGCCAGGTATTTGATATACATGAACTCTTTTAAACCTCTTACTAATACTGTAAGGTGTTAACGTCCATTCAACTTATTTTTAAAAAATATATTTTTATTGATTTCAAAGAGGAAGAGAGAGATTTAGAAACATCAATGATGAGAGAAAATCATTGATCGGCTGCCTCCTGCATAGCCCCTACTGGGGATTGAGCTCGCAACCTGGGCGTATGCCCTTGACAGGAATTGAACTTGGGACCCTTCAGTCTGCAGGTGGACACTCTATCCACTGAGCCAAACCAGCTAAGGCCCATTCAACTTATTGATGAAGAAACAGGTTCTGAGAGGTAAGGTAACTTACACAGGTAGTAAGTGGCAGAGATTTAGAAGTCCATACCCATAACCATCGTATCTATAATCTAATGGAGAAGCCAGATACATACATGAATGAGTATCCTGCAGTTTGTTAATGCTAATAGTGTGGTACTGTATAGACAGTGCAGTGGGAATTTAGGAAAAGGATAGGAGGGGGAGAGAAGGATGGCTCTTAGGCATGGTGCTAGATACTAGTTTATAACCATTATGCTTAATCCTCCCAGTAACCTTACAGAGCACCATAGCTGGTATGCCTGCTCCTAGGTGAAAAAACAGATCTATTGAAGTATTTGCATAAGGTCATTAAGCTATTAAGTAGTGGAAATGGAATTAGAGTTAGAAATCTAGTGGGTCTGGATCTGGATTTCAAGTCTGGGCTCTCCACTGTACTTTGCTACTTTGAAGGAGGAATAGAATTTCAATAGGTGGTGGAGAGGAGGCTGTTCAAAGGGGATGAAACAGCTCAAGCATGGGATGGAGGTGGAGTATAGAGTGTGTTTGTGTTGGATTTAGAGAATTGGAAGTGGAAAATAAGACTGGAAAGATAGAGATACAGCCTCCCCAAATCTTTAAAAGCTGTGCACAGTGGTTTAAATTTTAAGGTGTAGGTGTGGGGAGCCATTAAAGTTTTTTCAACTAGGGTGTGACATAACACTAGGTTTCAGGTTGCTTCACTAACAAACCATATGGAGCATGTGCTTGAAATTTCCACCGGGTTCAGGACAGAACAGGGTGACACTGCTAGGAGCTAGTTCTCCTCCACCATCCCCCTACCCTGGGTTTATGTGTACAAATAGCACAGGAGGCAGCAGCGCCATGCAGACAGCAGCCCAGGGGTCACACCACCTGTTCCGTCCTCACATGGACTGACAGAGGCCAGTACTGTGGAGCTGTGGTGGGGCCTGGGCACCTTTGGGAGCCTGGACTGCAGCTTGGAAACCACATCCTGGGGCTTGGTTTGAACCTTGTCCTTGGACTTGCAGAGTCTGGGACTCTTGGTGATGTGGGCAGGAGCACATTTCCCAAGCTGGGGTGAGTGATGTAGGCAAGCAGATTGAACTTGTGGCTGTTGCTCTTTGGGATCTTGGGCTTGACCTCTTTCGGCTTTATGAGGGCCTGAGAGCCATAGCATGTGTGCTCATGGCCTGGCATTGTCAGCCTGCATCTTCTTCAGGCCTTGCTTGTGCTTCTTGGCAAAGCACATGCTCCTCAAGAACTTGGGGTCCACCCCATTAAGGGATGGGTGTCTTTGTGATTGAGGTTTCTTGATTCTGTTTCGGTGCCATTTTTGGGACTGGTTGTGCCAGGTATGGTCCCTAGATTTGGCCATATCTGCACTGAAGCCCGCGGCTCCCAAAGCGCCTGAGACTGGGGAGAGAGAGAGTGGGGCTATTTCTCAATGTATTGCTTCATTTGTTATATTGAAATTAGCAAAAGTAAAATATTTTAGAAATCTCGGGTTTCCTCTATTTCACTTTTTTTGTGAGACGTGATTTGATTGGAATCCCTAGGGTATATTTTTCATGCTTCTCAGTCTGTTTGCTATCTTCTACGATTTTTGTAGTTATCTTTTTCTACTATGTATTTTGGAACTGGTTGAGTTATGAATAATACAGACATTTGTTTTAAGCTGTTTCAAATGGGAAAGAATAGGTTCTTGTTGTTGTTTTTTGTTAATCCTCATCTGAGGATATTTTTTTCCACTGAGTTTTAGAGAGAGTGGAAAAGGGGTGGGAAGGTGGAGAAACAGAGAGAGAGAGAGAGAGAGAGAGAGAGAGAAACATCTATGTGAGAGAGACACATCAAAGTCAATTTTCCCAAATTCCCAAATATAGCAAGCTCCTCTAGTGCCTTGGTTTGCTGCCTTTAGGTTGTTTGAACACCTGGAGAAAGATGATATGACAGAGAGGGAAGGGACTAAAGGAAATATGCACGGCCAGTGGAGGAGGAAACGGTCTTTTTGCTTACACAGGAGTAAGAGATTTCTTTCTTCTCAAATGGATATTAGGGTCTTTGTTCTCTTAAATTATAGAAAATAAAGCCTGAACTCTGGGCTGTAGAATCAAACTCATTTTGAAAATCTTCCCTTTTGGCTTCATCAGACTCTTTATTGCCTAAAGGAAAAAATACATGATGCTTTTTGTTCATGCATTTAAAAAAGAAATCATAGAGTGATCTGTTTGAAATTTTTTGCCAGGAAATTTGGTGTTGTAGAGAAAACATGAGCTTTGAAACTTGAAGCAAACCAGAATTAGCCTTTTGAGTTAGCTTCTGGTGAGTTATTCGACCTTAGGCAAATTCTTCTTTGAAGCTGTTCTCATCTACAAAATGGGGATAATTTTATCTGATTCACAGCTTTTTTTCTTTTTTCTTTTAAATCTAGCAAGTTAGTACATGCTTATTGTGCAAGTCAGCAGCATAAAATTGTGTAAAAAGGTAACTAAA